AAACCAACCCTTTGGAAAAAAAAAAAAAAAAAAAAAAAAAACTAAAAAAGCTTTGCTTTCTTCTTCAAGAAAGTTATATTCCGAAAGTAATTAAATAATTGTTTCCTTTTTAAAGGTTTTGTAGCCTGTAGTGGCCTTTATTTGAAAGTAGTTAGACAGGAAAGTGAAGAAAGACATGCGGCAAATGTCACCAGGCCAGAAATCAAACCTGCGACCACCGCCACAAGGATTATGGCATCAATATAAGGATTGTGCTTTTCCCCTGCGCCACCACAGCACCCCTAATTGTTTTCCTAAATATCAGATCAAGATAGGAAAGCATGTGCTAAGAGATTAACTCATTTGATTTCATAGTTCTATAACAATTGTTTCCACATATAAAAATGTATTCTTTTTTGGTCACATTTAAATGTTTCAGATAATCAAACTAGTTTTATCATCAAACTAAGATAAGTTTTTAGATTTTACTAACGTAACATATCTGTTCAGCCTGCTCAAATCTGAAAAGGACTCCCAATCATAACAGATGCTTGTGTAACCATTATTAATATGGTGAGGTTCACTATTCTTTGAAGCAATGAGCCTTCTCTTTTCACCATGTTGTTGCTGTATGATTGACAAAATCTCACTGTTGAGTTTGCAGTCAACAACTAGAACTCATCAGAATTAAAAGCTGTGAGACTATTTGTAAATAAAAAAAAAAATTAAAAAAAAGACAATTTGAGAAAATTAAACAAACGGATCCAAGATGAAGATTTTCTTCGCCAGGCTTCGCAGGCTATAAAACAACTAATGATCTGCCTCAGTCTTTCAGGAAGTCTTCAACTAGTTTGTTGAATTCCTCCGCATACTTCAGATGGAGGTTATGCTTTCCCTCTGGCATTAGATGCAACCTAGATTTAGGGGGGAAAAATGTTTTAGCTCATTGTTACAATAAATCTAATGCACTGAAAGTTATTGGTTGGAACATGGTCTCACCGTGATGCTTTTATGTTTTTGTGAAGGTACTGAGGGTGGAAGCTGGGGACCATAGGATCTTTCTCTCCATGTATGATCAGGGTTGGACAACTGATAAGAGGTAGAAGTTCCATGCAGATATTTCCTAAACATGAAATTCAAAAATAATTATTTCAGCCTAAAATACAAAATAAGACATCAAAATATTTATTTTATGCATTTCCTGTTTTTTTAAAATAGGCATGAAATTTTAGTTTCATTTCAGTTGTTATGCTTCTGTAACAACATGGTTTTCTTCACCTTCTGGTCTCTTTGCAAATTGAGCAATGCCATCCACCCAGTTCTCCCATATTTTGGCAAATGCTTCTGCTCCGTACACTTCCTCCATGGGCTGCCTCATTCTTGCACTCCACTTGGAGACATCACGGACCACTGGATATTCCCAGAAACAAGAAATATACAATCAATACTTAAGAAACAGTGTCTACTTTTGTACCGGCAGCTATTTTGGACAATAAAAACTGGAGTACTGTTGTAAAGCTTGAGGTCATCCTGAGTAACGAAGACATTAGATCCCCAGACGACCATCTTATTTATCAGCTCAGGGTTCCTTGCAGCTGCAATCATAGCAGTGATTCCCCCGTCGCTCCAACCCAGCAAAGAGAATTTCTTAAAACCTAGAGTCTGTTTAAAAAAAAAAAAAGAACAAAATACCAATGAAGAAATATTTTTTACAAATATTTCCATAATAACCTTTAAAAATAGTATACATTTTTGTGATACACACATACGTGATTATATAGTTTTATATATACTTTAAGACAGATGAGACATCTCACTTTTTAAACAAGAATTACAATGTTGACAAGCTCTAGAAAGTCATTTCGACCTAATGTTGCATGTGTACAGGAGGGGCGTTTCAATACTTAAAGTCACCCACTCTTCCTCATTTTGCTCAGACACTGAGGAAAAATTAGTCACTGTCATAGCTAATATATCATGCATAAAACAATACAGAGACAATGTCTGGAAAGAACAACTAATTTAAAGAAGTGATACCTGAACATCAGCAGAAATTTTGTACTGACAAAAAGAAGGCACTGAAAGCAAAGATTTTATTAGGATTGTTAGCCACTAAAGTACTAATGTATGCCATTTGTTGTCTCTTAACCTTGTTGTTTTCCTTCCCTTTAAGACAAGTTTTTGACCATCTTTCATAATTCTTTGGAAAGAAGTAATCAGAACATGAACTATGTTTTATGTAAAGAGCGTTTTTTTTCCTTTGCTGTATTTATTGGAAGAGGATTGAAACACACAGAAAATGTCTCTGTACAGTTAAGTGGGATCATAACTCACCTTCATCAGATCTACTCCATCCTTTGCATCCCTCTCAAAGAAGTCAGAAGGGAAGTCTCGATCTGGAGGACGGGATTGCCCATATCCACGGGGATCCCACCCCACCACAGTGAAACGCTCTTTGTTCAGAGACTTCAGCTGTGGACCGAAATCTGTCTTTGTGCTTCCTGTGGTAAAAAAAAAAAAAAAAAAAAGGCAGATCTGTTGTACACAAGGTATTAAGGCTTATGCTCAGATTGTGGGTCTGTATTTACCCAGGGCACCAGGAAAAAGAAGAACAGCATGTTTCCCTTGTCCTGTTTGCTCATAGTACAGATCAACGCTGTTAACACGCCGCTTGCCCGAGGAAGCTGAAGAGCTGCAGAGAAACAAAACAACGTCTGAGGAAACACGAGAACAGACGCTTAAAAACGTGTTTGGATCTGAAGGACACATGACTGCATGGAGTAGTGAGAATTATTTTGTGAAGCAGAGAAAAAAAGTGTAGCATAATAATCTCAAGGAGTTCAGAAAGGGGACAAAACACCTTGCAGGGCAAGAATGTCAAGTTTTTTACAAGTTTCATAAATTTGTTTCTTAATGCAATACAATACAATGTAAACATTTTAAGAAATTGCTCCTTTTTATTGAAAACTTTCTTCCAGACTGTAGCCAGACTATTGGCTGTCATTACCACAGAGTTCTTCAGGAAACACTGGAAGTTTTTTTTTTTTTTTTTAAATCATTATAATGAAATTCATTGACCTGACAATATTATTTTTGTAATAGCTTGGCTCCACACGAGTGCTTAAAATCTTTGATAAGGAAATCAAGCTATTCCAATCAGCTCTAATTCTCTTTACAACCTACTGTTATTGTTATCAAGTTTTCTCTAAAATTAAGTGTTCTCACATATGTCTCAAACACCTTTAAATGTGACAAAAAAAAGAAAAATCTAAATTAATTTACAATGATTGTTATATGCTTCATGTGATGTCATCAGAGACGTGCATGCGGACGCTCCTTTTTGGGAAGAAATATTTTATCTTCTTTAAATAATGCTTTACAACAGAATAACTAAACAAGCTAGAAGTTTTTCTAAAATTGACAATCTTTAAATGATTTTGGGATAAACTCTAGCAGACTGTTTTAAGGAGCAAAAAAGGTGTGCTGTCCACAAAATGAACGAAATAAATTAAAAGTAGAACTAAGTTAAATTTACCATGTAATTCCTAAACAGAAATTAAAGCATTAACCTAAAAAAACAATAACTTAAGTAGAAAATACACGTGAATCCCCTATGAAATTTTAAGTTAAAGTTAAACTCGAAAGGAGTTTTGGGTGGTTTCCTGGTGATTTTGGCAACTTTCATCATTCTTTGTGCATCTAAAGAAATTGCGCCATCTAGTGGATGTAAAAAAAAAATCATTGAAGTAAAAACAGAAGCACCTAGCCCCAAAGCTAGACCTGTCCGAACGAACTTCTCATCTGTTTTTGAGTCAGTTTGAAGAACTTTGAACATTAAACGTTCTCCCACTGAATGCAGTGCAATGCTAACAGTTACCAGTACAGCTGCGACGCCTCCATGATCTTCCCGACGTCTCTGCTGCACTTAAACAAACGTCTTCCAAACAAAAGCAAGGCCATTTAGTCAATAAGCGTTGCAGCCACACGGTCAGCTACTGCAGGTTGGATTAAAGCGGTTTAAGATTGTTCAAAGTCCTCTCGGCTATGAGCTGCATGTCGGTGTTTTCAAAGGAAATCCGGGTAGCAGCAGCAGCGAGTGACTGAGTGAGGTTTGGGAGTGTTCACGTCAGGGAAATTTAAAGCGAAAGTATGGGAAGGAGCAAGAATGTTTAATTTACTTTATTCCAATCCAGAAAAATATGTTTTGCTTTGATTTAAGTGCATTACTTGAAAAGTTTCATTTCTTAACTTTGACTTTGTACAGTAATCACTCTAAGAAATTACATATTTAAATATGTATTTTCTTTTGTGTGGGGATTAAAGAAAGGTGAGTACAATATTCTTTATTAAATGGAATAATGATTTATAAAACGTATAATTTTATGGCACTTTCCAGGCATACAGTTGCACCCAAAAGTATTCGTATCACCAGGAGATTCAAGTTTAGAGTAATTTATCTTTACCAATACATACTTTAATGGTAAATTTAATGCTTTTGAGTATTGGGCCAAAACTTAAGTCTGATTCAGAATCTGAGAGAGAAGATTAATGGCAATAAAATGAAACCTTTGTTTTATTTGAAGCCACAATGAACCTTCCGTGTTGAATGAAACTACCTTAAAACAAATTTACCTAGCAGTGGTACAAAAACATTAAAAATAGATAATGAACTGTTTAAAAAAAGATTCCTCAGTTGGAAGGAACTACTTCCTTTTAATAGGGAAAACCCCAACAGAACCAGGCTCAGCATGAGCAGCCATCTGCCGTGATTGAGCAGAAGCTGAGAAGGCAGGACAATTAAAACCCACACAGAAAACCAACGGGCTAGGTTTACTTTCAAAGAAAAACAGAGTATACAAAGTTAATGACAGCCATAATTGCAAATAATACATCAATGGTGGGCAGAGAGAATAAAAACGGCAGAGATGGGCTAAGCGGTCAACCCAAGATCAAATGCAGAGAGACTACATTTGATCTAATGATGTTGCATTCAGCTGTATGTTGAGCTTTGCACAAATACATAATTCGGTTGCTGAACTACAATATTAAATATTTGAATCACAGCATGCTGTACTATTTAGATATGGAACACTACAAGTTGTTTTTCTTTTTATACCTTTGTGACGCATTTGCCAAAGCTACCATGGCATCCTGTTCTCACTACTTGAAATATGTGCAGAAAATTAAACTTAGCTCCTTAAAATGTCCAGTCATTTCTATTAGGCAGGACTTTTTCTGTCCATCTAGCTGTTATTCTGCAGCAGCAGTCCTATTAAGTCCTTTTTAGTTTTCTTTGAAATGCCTGAGGTTCATCTTTAATAAGTGCAATATTTCTTTTAATTGATTCACCCCATTGAAAAAGAAAAGTAACAATACTTTCTTATGCAACAGTTTCGCAAAACACAACTCACGGTTTGAGATAAAACTCCAAAGCTTAAATGGAAAAACTGCCATTCTTATCTTTTGTAACACTGATCTTCTACAGATATAGTGTCTTTGGTTTGCTAAACTCACTGCCGCCTTTAAAGGCCTTTGTAGCTTTAAAGCTTCGATTGTGAATTAAATACTCTAAATATGTGAACATTTAATTCAATATTTGACAGACTGTATCAACCACAATGTGTGGCAGATAAAAATTCACCTTTAGGATCTGGCTGCAAAATATGTTTTTCCAGCAACATTTGACGTTAACGTTTAATGCTATAATTTCAAGGAAATCTCATCTGGAAAAAGAAAAAAAGAGAAATAAGAAATAAACATAAATGTCTGTTAAAGACTACAATAAATCAATTATATATTTTTTGGAATATATGTTTGTACCAAACCTTACAAAGACCTAGCATAACGTATGTAGAGGGTTGCATTTCTAATTTTCTTGTTTAGTTATTACACATATTTATGTCTTTAAAAATGTTCTCCTTAAACTTCGGGAGTTAGTGACCTTTACGTAGATGGAGAAAAGTCTTAATTTAAGAGGTACAGCCAAAGAACTTTAAGTAGGTAGTAAAAATAATCAAGCAAAAAAAAAAAAAAAAGAAGTATTTCCTGTAATAAACTTATGAAAGACTTTTTTAATATAAACCTCAACAAAGGCCAGTTTGTTTATGTCTGACTCGTCAGCCCTGATGAGCTGTTTGAGCCCTTCCCCGTTTTTGTAAACGCCTCCACACTCCTGTGCTTGTTAATGAGTGTGAGCAGTGCCATGTACTGAACCGCATACAGGAACACAAGACAAAAACCAGGCTAAAAATACCCTGGTTGGCTATGAGCGATGAGTTGAAGGTGTCGCCAGATTTACTGGAAATGCAAAACTTGAAGTGTGTTCAATGAAATAGAGAGCAAGAAATTAAAGTTAAGCGGGGTAAATTCTTAATGTCAAGAAGAAACCAGACCCGTAATCAGGCTCAGTGAAGTGATTTGAAGATTTTACCTAACTTTAGTAAATTTAATGTTAGGGCTCTTAGTTCATAACATCTACTGGATGAACTGGTCCAACCTCCGATTGTATGGACCTTTACAGAGAATATAATTGATTTGAAAGTATTTTTTACAAATAACCAGATGAAAAACTGTCACAATTCTTGGGATATGGGGGATTACGTTTTCTTAGTCAAGCAAAACCAGTTAAAAATGTGATTTACTGCAAGTATTTTGAGTCTGATTGAGAAGTGCTCCTTGTATGGCAGAACAGCTCAGCACATGGTGACAACCAGACGTCACCCCGCTCTAGATGTGTTCTCCTGTTTCTCCTGGCACTCGACCATCTTTGTCTGGCCAGTATGTGTCTATGCACAATCCCGTGACCCAGCTCGGTCTAAATATAAACAGCCAAGCAGTGTGCTTCACTACTAAGGTGACATTACGTAATTCTAATCAACATGTTCTTAGTGAAAGATCTCCCGGGACATGAGCTGTGGACGTGTCAAAGATTTTGTGATATTTTGGTTGACCCCAAAGAAGTTATCAAGGATGGTTGGAGGACGGTGAGACGGAGCTTGTCAGTTGAGAGTAATGCTGCTGTAGAGCATCAGGATTTCGTCCCCGAAGCCTGAATTGGAAGAGAAGGACCATATAGTTGTCTTAGATTTGAACTTACTTGCATAAGACATTCTGTCAAAGATGGGTAATGGAATAAGTAAGGTAAAGTATCACAAAGAATCGGTTTGAATCTCCAAAATCTCTTTTTGCATTGTCCGTTCAGCTCCCTTTCCTTGCTCTTTTTAGATCCTACCAGATCTGTACCTTGGTAACATTAAAGGTAAGTCTTCATGTCAGTGAAGAAATGATTCCTTTTTTAAAATCATTTTCAGGACAGCGTAGTAGAACACGTTTCAGTTCCTCATATGAAGGAGCATGTGGTGAACTGCTACACTGAGCTTGGTTTCTATAGAGTAGAGAGGTCACAGTGTGAAGCTGAACGACTGGAGTACTGCATTTTGACAAGAAAAAAAAAACTTACAGTACTGTTTTTTATCTTTACTGAAGTTTTTCCTTTGAGGTGTGCAGCTGCTGCTGGGGAACATAAATCTTATGTTGTGAATATGATGAGCGTTGGCGTGGGAGGGGATGCCCCGTGCTGTGGGGGTGTCCCTGATCTGAGATGCATTCCAAATGTTTCCACAAAACAGCAAACCAAAGCATGAGGTTGCTCTTTTTATATATAATTCACACAGTGAACCATAAACACGTAGGCAATAGCATAAATATGTGGAAGACTTTTTTTTGTAAACGTGACCTGTTCTGAAAAATGCTGTCAAATAGGAAACATAATACCTTTCATCTTAGCGACACCTTTTATGTTGTTTTTCTTTTATGCTTGCCACCATGCCTATTTAAAGACATTTGTGTACGACAAAGGAAAAAATAAGGTCTGGTGTTATAAGGCTGCCTCTCATTCTGGATATGTTTTTTTTTTTTTTTTTTTTTTTTGTCTTAGTTTGAATTAACCAAAAAATGACTTTTTAAAGTCCATTAAAAGAAAAGTATATATACACACTCACACATATCTTTGATAAAGCATGGCTTTATGAGTCTTACCACTAAACCTTTGAGGTTACCATTTATGATTTAAATAATTTCAAACACATTCAGATGAGATTCAAGTTTATTCAGCTAAAACTGAATTTGAAACATAATGTACTCTGGTTTAACAATAGTATTTATCTAAATAAATTCACTTGATGAAGCTCGTAGAAAAAAATGGAGTCTTGATTTGGATACTTGCTATACATTTCCAGATGTCTACATGCTGTACTAAAGGCTCTGAAATTGGGAATTCCCCCAAAAAACCACATTTACTGGGCCAGTAATTGGTGCATGTCCATAGTAGCTGAACCCTAGACAAGTGTCTAAATCTAACCAAGTAGTTCTAATACCAAAATCTAGTTAAGGTGTAAAATCCAAGGGCAAGCCAACCTCTAAAAAGCAGTTCAATGCTAAATAAACTAGAACAAACTGTAAAATTAGACTGTCAATAAATTTGGATGCTGTGAAAGTTGCAGCCCGTCATGAGGCCAGAAGCCTGTAGTCACTTTCAAACTGGATCTCTCATTTATGTACTTTATCTGAGTAAACAGAAAAAATGAAAGTTGCATCAAATAAATCAAATCCATTGATAACTTTCTATATTTCACAGCATTTCTGTAAAATTGGCCTATTCTGAAATTGGGATTTGAGAACTAATATCTTAATACCATGAAACTATATATTGAATCTACTTCTACACATAAATAATGTTTAAATTGTCAGTGCATAATATGATTTGGAATTTTATAGAATAATTAGAAACACTTCTATTTTCCTTTATTTGTGAAGGCTTGTCGCCTCTTTGTCCTTCAAAACAGATTTTGCATTTCTTTGAACACTGTCCATTGGACAAATATATGCCATGATGGGTTACACATAAAAATAGAGATGTGAAAGGCTGTTCATACTTTGCTCTACTGAGCAAAGCAAGCAATCATAGTATTTTGCATTGAGTCCTTTTAGTCCTTTATCATTTGCCAATTAGGAATGTGGTGGGTCTAGCTGAATTTTAAAGGCAATGCAATATTTTCTGCAGTTCCTTTTAGCTTCAAACTAATCAGAGAACAGATTAGTGTACGGATTCCATCTGCTGTCAACAACTGC